AAAAACAAGTAAAACTGCACCATACTGCACTCTGCTGCAATGCAGTGCAACACATTGTGGTGCCTAGCAAGTTATCCAATCAAAATAAACTTAATCAATTCGTTGAAATACAATTAAGAATATGATTATCAACCTTCTTTTTTTAGTGTTTGAAAAGAAATGTAGAACAGACTGAATGAAATATTTAATTTAGATTTAACTATTATTATGACTACTTCTCTTTCATGCAAATCAGAGGAATACTTTCGAGGATACTTTCACAAAACTTTATTGATAATTTTTCTTATTGAACGACTAATTTGTGGTATGCGCAAAAAAATATTCCTTCAATTTTCTTTTTAATTAGTGCCTTGAATATCTTTTTTATTAAATCAAACTAGATGAATTATTTATTAAGGAGGGCTCCTTCGAGAAAGCTATGTGTTGATAATTTTTTTATCAAACGACTAGTTTGGGTAATGATTAATTCAATTATTACCCTGAATATGTTTTTAAACAAACAAATTGGATGAAATATTTATTAACCTTTTTTATCCAATTTCTGATCTGATTCATAAAAATCTCAATTAACACTCACATACGTGTATGGAAAATGGCAGCACAATGATTTGGAAGGACTCCTTCGATAAAGCTTAGTATTGATAATTTTTTATTGAACGACTAGTTTGGGTATGCAGAAAATAAGTTCCTTAAATTTTCTTTTAAATAAGTGCTTTGAATATCTGTTAATAAAAAAACAAGATGAAATACTTTTTATTATGAAAACCCCTTTACTCTTTAAAATGTGTGACTGATCTCCTTCATACAAATCTCAATTAACACTTTCCTGATTCTGTGTATATGTCGGAGGAAACCTATTGACAAAACTGCGTATAAATAATTTTTTATCGAGCGACTAGTCCAGAAAAATAAACTGAAGAAATAAACTCGTGACCATTGAGTCATTTGAATTTCTCTTTCATACCACTAATTAACACTCCAGCATTGTGTATGTGCTCCTTCGATAAAGCTTTGTCTCGCCAGACCTTTTTTTATCAAGTACACTGTACATCTTTGGGTATTTTGTTTTGATAATTCCTTAAATTTTCTTGTAAATAAGTGCTTTGAATATCCAAACAAACGTGGAATACTTTCCAATTATTTTTAATTGATGTAATTTTAAAAATGTGACTGTTCTTTTCATACAAATCTCAAATATAGGGTGACCTTTGTGTATATGTTTTTTTTTCACCGTCAAAACTGTGTTTTAATAAAACAGTGTAAACTATCCCGCTAGTTTGGGTGATTGAAAAATAAATTGAAAAATAAACTCCTCTGTGACCATTGAGTCATTTGATTTTTATTTGCACGCATATAAATGCTTCTTATCTATGTATGTAATTTCTAATCTCTCCTTTATTTTGCACTGTACAAATTGTAATGCCAATCAAAGGTTAATAAGTCCAATTTTCTTTTACTCTATTTTCTTATAATTATAAGGTTGATTAACAAACTCTTTGTAAAATTTATTTTTCTTTTTTCAAAAAACAAATTAAAGATATTATTGCACTGCAATGATTCACAGTATACGTCATGTATCACAAAACATACGTATTTTACATATCAACATTAAATATTACATTAATTATATTTGCATGTGAACTAAAATACAAAGCGCCCGTGCCTTTTATAAAGGCGCTTTAATTTCTGTACTGCCTAATTAAATAGCATTACTTGTTAAGTGAGATAAACTCACAAGTATGCAAGACCAAACTTAACATTGCTAATGAGTTTTTTTTATGGAATACTACAAGCCTGTCATTCTTTAGTTTTGCCTGAACATTTGCATAATCCTTTTGTCTACGTTGTTCAAAGGGGCATAATTTGATTATCGAACTTTGTAAGAAACTTACATTATGCAAATTTTGCAACTCTTTGAGAAAATTGTACTTTTTAAGAAGCAACTTTTGGAGGGTGGATGGTGTATATTTCTGAAAGCATTGACTAGTAAAATGTTTGTGCTTGTTGAAAAACAAGTAAAACTGCACATACTGCACTCTGCTGCAATGCAGTTCACACATTGTGGTGCCTATTTAATGTTGTAGATCAAAATAAACTTAATCAAAGATTTTTATTTTGAAATTGATTATAATAATTTAGTGTTTTAAAGAAATTAAAACAACTAAATGAAATATTTAATTAAATTTAACTATTTTGCAACTTCAGAATTCATGCAAATCAGAAAATATTTAAAGGACATTTAAAGTTTATTTTTCTTTAGCATTGACCTTAATAAGTTTGGAGGAAAAACAATAAAAGAATTTTCAATTTAATTAGTGCCTTGAATATCTTTTTTATTAAATCAAACTAGAAAAGAAATGAATTATTTATGCTACTTGTTTGATGGAGGGCTTTACAAATAATCGAATTTGTAAAAAAAACGATAATTTTTTTTTCAAACGACTTAGTTTGGGTATGCGTAATTCAATTATTGCCCTGAATATGTTTTTAAACAAATCAAATTGGATGAAATATTTATTAACATTTAATTAATATTTGACTCTTCCCTTTCATAAAAATCTCAATTAACACTCCAAAACATACGTTTGTGGAGTCAATTTATAAAGCTTAGTATTGATAATTTTTTATCGAACGACTAGTTTGGGTATGCACAAAAATAATTCCTTAAATTTTCTTTTAAATAAGTGATTTGAATATCTTTTTTAAACAAACAAGATGAAATACTTTTTATTTGAATTGATGTAATTTTAAAATGTGTGAGTGATCTCCTTCATACAAATCTCAATTAACACTTTCCAGCACTTATGTGTATATGTCGGAGGACTCTCTCTCTCTCTCTCTCTCTCTCTCTCTCTCTCTCTCTCTATAAATAATTTTTTATCTCTCTCTCTCTCTCTCGCGACTAGTTTGGGTAATTGAAAATAAACTGAAGAAATAAACTCCTCTGTGACCATTGAGTCATTTAATTTCTCTTTCATACAAATCTCAATTAACACTCCAGCACATACGTGTATGTGGCAAAAACTCCTTCGATAAAGCTTAGTATTGATAATTTTTTATCGAACAACTAGTTTGGGTATGCGCAAAAATAATTCCTTAAATTTTCTTGTAAATAAGTGCTTTGAATATCTTTTTTAAACAAACTAGATGAAATACTTTTTATTTGAATTGATGTAATTTTAAAATATGTGACTGTTCTCTTTCATGCAAATCTCAATTAACAGTCTCCAGCACTTATGTGTATATGTTGGAGGACTTTTTCGACAAAACTGTGTTTTAATAACTTTTCATCGAGCGACTAGTTTGGGTGATTGAAAAATAAATTGAAGAAATATCTCTGTGACCATTAAGTCATTTAATTTTTATTTGCACGCATATAAATGCTTCTATCTTATGTAGGAATTTACCTACACTTATATTGCACTGTACAAATTGTAATGCCAATCAAAGGTTAATAAGTCCAATTTTCTTTTACTCTATTTTCTTATATAAAAGATAAGGTTGAAAAAAACTCTTTGTAAAATTTATTATTTTTTTTTTTAAAGTTTAGGAAACCAAATTGATGCTCTAAAATAAAGATATTATTGCACTGCAATGCATCTCATTGTGACTGCTTAACGTAGTGTCTACTTAAAACATACATGGTCTATCTTTATTAAATTCAACATTAAAAGAAATACGACTTTTCCTGTTTGAATAAGTGAGCAGGTTTTTAGCTCTACTGGTCAGACAAAGCGCCCAATTGCCTTGTAGCACAATCAAAGGCGCTTTAATTTCTGTACTGCCTAGCCAGGTAGCATTACTTGTTAAGTGAGATAAACTCACAATGCATACAAGACCAAACTTAACATTGCTAATGAGTGAGTGACTACACAAGTCTTATATAGTATACAAGCCTGTCATTCTTTAGTTTTGCCTGAACATTTGCATAATCGTTTTGTCACGTTGTTCAAAAATAGATAATTTGATTATCGAACTTTGTAAGAAACTTACATTATGCAAATTTTGCAACTCAGAATTAGCTGGAAGAGAAAATTGTATTTAAAGGGCAACTTTGGAGGGTGGATGGTGGGGAATGTTTCTAAAGCATTGACTAGTAAAATGTTTGTGCTTGTTGAAAAACAAGTAAAAAAAATGCTACCCCTCCTACAGTTTTGGTCTGATTTCAATATAACTTGGCACACAAGTAGATTTCTACACAAAATACATAAATCTATTTATCGGTTTTTGATTTCGATGAACGGTGTTGCCATGGTTACTAAAAATAGAAATATCTGTAAAATTGTTTCAAAATGCTACTCCTCCTACAGTTTCGGTCTGATTTCAATATAACTTGGCACACAAGTAGACTACACTAAGAACATAAAGAGACTTTATCAACGATCATTATTCTATTTATTGCTGTTGTAAAGTTTCAAATCCCAGCTGCTTAAGTACTTTTCTCTTCCTTTGCTATAAGTTCAAACCAGTAGAGCTTCAGTCTCGACAGAGACTTCTGGTTCTAATTTTTACATTAATTAACAATTTTAATTATTTCATTTTATTTTTTTTATTTTCATACATGTATTTGTCCAACCATGCATTGTCATATTCTCGACTTATTAGAACCAAAATGTTTTTATACAGAGCTGCAGAGTAAACAAATTAAAGACAGAATTTCTGGACATAGGAATTCAGAATGGTGCTTCCTTCGGCCATTTTGATAATGGAAATTTGTCACTCACCTACAAGTCACAGGACGGAAAAAGGTTCGTAGAAACAGGAAACTGCGTGGTAAACGTTAATATTCAGTAATTTCATGTAGGGTATTTCTTAACTTGGCACTAAATGGGCCCAATTTTTTTTTTGGGGGGGGGGGCTGCCATTGTGGATGTTGCAATATATGAATATGAGACAGTTTTAACCCGAGAGATCTGAATCCAGGTGTGAAAAAGCAAGAAATCTTAAATTGAACGTTGAGTCTATAATCAAATGCTAATAAATTACATGTACAAACAACTAAAATGAAAATATAAAAAATAATAAGATTGCGAAAAACGAGTTAATTTTGTATGGCCCTGCCATGGATATGACTTGCATGGGTTTATAGTGTTTGTCAAGTCTGTCTTGCATCTTTATGTCCTTTTGTCAAAGTTTGCGTCTTGCCCAGTTTGAAAAAAAAAGTAATGAATATATTCAAGATGGTTCTTTAAAATCTAATTTCATATGCCGATACATATTGAAGAAACTCCTACATGTACATTGTCGCGCGCGTGGCGCAGTGGTTGGAACTTCTGCTCTAGGGTCGTGAAGTAAGGAATTGATCTTACGTCGCGGGTTCGAATGCCCCTGTGGGACGCGGAGACCGGTCCTTCGGATGAGACCGTATAAACCGAGGTCCCGTGTCGCAGTAGGTGCTGGCTCGGAAAAGATACCTCACTGCTTAATGGCCCTTAGTGCCGAGTATAGGACAAAATTTGTAGCTCTCCATCGGCAAGTGGTAGCGTCTCCATATGAGTGAAACATCCTCGACAGGGACGTTCAACAACATACAATCAATCAACCTACATGTACAAGTAAGAGTCTCGGTTTACGTCCGTACGCTCCTTACAATGTATAAATATACCCCGGCGACAAGTCAAAGGTATCTCGCTGTGAATCTCTAGCATATGCTGGATTGATTGATTGATAGCGTATTGTTTAACGTCCCTCTCGAGATTTTTTCACTCATATGGAGACGCCACCACTTGCCGGAGAGCTGCAAATGTGTCCTATACTCGGCACTCAGAGCCATTGAGCAGGGAGGGATCTTTTTCGTGCCAGCACCTACTGCGACACAAGACCTCGGTTTACACGGTTTCATCCGAAGGACCGGTCTCCACGTCCCACAGCTGGATTCGAACCCGAGCATATGCTGGAGTAATACTAATACTGAAGATAGTTATTTCTCAGCAGGGACCTATATATTACACTAGTATAAAGGTCCCTGATCTAATCCAAAATTTATTTCATAAATTTGACACCCCCTTGACTTTGACCTCACTTGTTTTAAATTTATTTAGTGTTTGGCTCAATTTTAAACTTTGACCTCATCTTCACTTTTCTTAAATTTCTGCGTAGCTTTGTTTAAAAGGAATTATTCAAGATATTTTTTATCAATTATACTTAATATACTGATGAGAGTTATTCAGATTACTAGCATCAACGTTCTTGACCATGACTTCAAATTTGTGTTTAGCTTAATTTCAAAGAAAGAATTCGAGATATTCAAGATTATCAAACTTCATACCTTCAAAAATAGAAATGTAAATAAATATGTTTCATATAAATATTAATGAGAGCTACTGTATATTCACTTGCATTAACATTTTCATCACCTTTCATTGACATTTCCTTTGACCTCACTTAAAATGCCGAAAGCTCGGTGAATTAGTTTGTCCAGCGTCAGGCGTCCGTCTCTAAATTTTCACATCTTCAACGTCTTCGAAGGAACCGTTTCAACTAATTTTAACTAAATATTGAAGCAAACTTGAGTAAAGGGGAATCTACAATTGAATTGTTAAAACGAAGGAACCAGCATCCTCCCAAGGGGAGATAATATAGAAGAGAGAAAAACTTTGGGGTCATTAAAGATCTAAGGATCTGAAACTTTGCGGAAGCATCATGAGGCAGTGTTAATTTTATGTTATTCAACTCATGTCCCCGGGGGTAGAGTGGGGCCACAATTTAGGGAATTAAAGTATATGATTTATAGATAGGATAAACAGATCTTTGTGTGACCGAATAAGTTTCTTTGAATAAAATATACATTTAGAAAAAAAAGTATTTAAGCTAGTGTTAGCAAGTTCCAAAAACGCTCGACCACTCCCTAAAAGGTCCACTTCCCTGCAAGCACGAACACACGTGACGCGCTGATATCTAATTGGCTAATAATTGAATAAGTTTACTGGAGTTGAATTTTTCGAAGAATTTCTTATGAAAATTAAGTGTAGATTTAATAAGTAAAAGAACCTGCCTTATTTTAATGAAGTTTGTTGGAAATAGGAGCATAAAAGAGCGTTTTGTGGAACGTTTGTAACGATTCGCGTAACTACAACATATTACATCCAGCACTTTCCATAATATACATTCAGAAATATATTTATACATACTGTTCACTCTACAGAACTACAACTGTGTCACTCTTTATTTTAAATCTGTAAACTTATGAAAATATACATTCAGAAATATATTTATACATACTGTTCACTCTACAGAACAATTGTGTCACTCTACTGTAATGAGGAACAAGAGCACTCTCCGGGCCGTGGGAGATATGGGCTCCTTCTTTGTAAGTAAAGATTTATATTAGACTTCCTGTTGGCAAGATCCAGAAATAGGACTTAATATGAAGTAAATAGAATGTTCTTAACATTTTTCTTGGAATAACAGATGTTCCAGAATTAATATTGCTAACACATTTGCTCACTTCTGTCAAGCAGCGATTAAAATTGCACAGCATCAATATTTCAGTGGTTGCAGTTACGAAGTAAGTATTGTTGCCCTAGAAAGAGAGAGGAAATTCCGAATTTTTCCAGACTTGGTCATTTATTAAATCTGATAAAAAATAGAACAGAAGAACCCCATCCACCCACAATTCCAACTCCAAGTGTCGTAACAGTGACGTCACCACCGGCACCGGATCTCCACCAGATAACCTTTCTTCTTACAGGAATCTTGTAAGTACATATCTTTTTATTTCTGGGGAATCCGGATTATAAGTCTAATCTGATATATTTTAACTAGTTTCTATTGAAATTTACCACAGGATACTTTAATTAAATATATATTAAATTCTGTGATTAAATTGTTTCAAAATGAAATTAAGCTTTCCAAAATGTTATTGAATCAACTATGAATTGCACTTATTTACTAACTGTTCGGAAGATTCCTATGCAATTTATAATAATTTTACTTTTCCCCCCTAGAATTGTGTCCTTTCTCATACTGTTGATACTAGTGGGTGGACTGTTTTGGAAATGTATAAGAAGAAATCCTTACGCCCCGTACTCACTACTTCCAAGCGATGACTTTGTGGAAAATAAAAGGCAAACGTATTGATAAACAAATCCTTCGTTCTGTGATATTCTGCATTCTTGACTATAGTCGTGCACTTATTGAATTTTTAAATAAAAATCAGTAAACAACACTTGTTTCCTCGAATTCAAGTAACAAGATGTGTCCAGAGGTGTAGCAAAGGAGGACTTCCTGCAGAGACTGTTTATAAATCTTACGTTTAGAAAGCTATTTTGTGCAAACAGGAGGAACGATAGTGATTCACTTCAGACTCTGTATTTACAATCGCATAGGGTGGATTGTGACCGGTCGGCAGGGGATGCTCTCTCCTCCATGGCACTTGATCCCACCTCTGATGTTTTGGAGGTCCTTGTTTGCTCTGCTCCTATTTTTGTATTGTTTTATGGATTTTTTTTAGGTTGAATACTGTTCGTTATCTCCAGGCAATATATTAAATTCCCTTAACATACAAATCAACAGTACAATAATTTAAGTTTAAAAACTACAGAAATATACACCATAAAATTTTTTTTGTTTTTTGTTAAGAGGGTTATTTTTCAAAAAAGATAAAATTATGAAGCCAAATATTAATTATTATAAATCAACCACATGTACATCAACTATTAATTTCAAGGTCGGTAACATAGTAAGCTGGCAGTATTGAACACATCCTATCTTTGTTAATATGACACAAGTCAAATTAGAGAAAGCCGGACTCGTGTCAGTTGGTGAAAATCTGCAGCACTTGAGGTTTTCTTCACAGTTAGTCTAAAATTGTCATTGAATATTAATTTTCAAAACTTTTGAAAAAGGGGGTAAAGAAGAGGAGATATTGGGGTTTTCATAAAGTAAAATCCTCACAAATCATACTTTACATTTCAAACATATATATTTATTATACAATACAATTATCATACAATACAATACAATGCATATTCATACGTTCACAATATACTCCTACATGTAATTGAACAGATAACATCGTTAATGGTTTTTCCTTTTCCTTTATGACAACAATACGTAAATTATCTTCTGGTGGATAACATTAAGTTTCTATACCAGATATACTAATCATCAGACATCATTATTATAAGTATAACAAATAAAAACGGAGTAAAAATATTTCATTTTCTCCACATTGTATAATGTAATATTCCATCAAAATTGTGGGCGGTGCCAATCTCAACCTGAAGCCTTGGAAGTCTGAATTTCTATTAAAATCGAAATGACATTTAGTTAAATAAAACTCCGTTTTTTTTTTTCAAGTTAGGTCAACTGGCCAGAGATACTGGTATTTTTTCAGAAGAACTGAGGACAAATTCTAAAAGCATAAACTTATTTATCAAACATTAGCAAATTATTTTTGTTACAGTTCTCTGATAAACTGACGGACAGACAGAGAAATATCTGGTAAAATTATCCCTTCTTACCGCTATGTTCAGTATGGGGCGCAAAATATGAGAGTAAAATTCATTTGATAATCCATGTTGGACGAGATTGTAAATATTTTAATGATTACAATGATTTACAAACAACAAATACAAAAACACACACAAACAAAATGAATCATTCTTAATTGAGGCCTTGGCAAAGGGCATTTAAATAAAGGAATTACAATAGGACGAATTCTAAAAGGCTTACATCAAATGTTTGATGTATCAAAATACAACTAATATTTCACTTACATCGAAGGAGAAACATATAGCATCATAGGAATTGGTCAAAATAGGGGAAAAACACGAAGACTATACAAACATTATCATAATAATGTGGTGTATGGAATGAATACAGAAAAAAATTTAGCACAACGTACCTAAGATACAACGCTAAAGTAAGATCTTGTGCAATTAATTTCCTTTAGCCAAGATTCTCAGCCTCAGAAGCGGTCGATATTTTTGTGATTGAAAAAGGAAATGTACACTGCATGAGAAAATAAAACCTTTTTTTCATAGGATTGGTAAAGAAAAATCATAAATATTATTTTTCTAGAAATGCTCTCTAAAATTGGAGTGTATATGGTATAAAAAAAAATCCAAATTAATTTAGTACATTCTGTTGAAAAAGATATTATATCTGCCAAAAAGTGTTGCAAAAATCCAGCAAACCTATGACAACGTTAAAAAAAAGACAGAAAAAAGTATCAATACCAATCTTATTAAAATCAGTTCCTTTGATCCGCCCACATAGACCGCTACCTTGTGTAGTAATCTATGTGAGCGGATCAAAGTATCAGATTTTAATCAGACTGGCATTAATACTATCACCAAAATTCATTTCAAAATCTTTTGAGGTTTTCCTGACATACACTGGTAAGGAAGCTCTAAACACTACATGTAACACTCAGATGTGTTTTGGGACTTGGAGAAAATATATCACTGATATAAACGTGTGTGTATTGAGACTATTTAATTCATTTTTAAAATAGGGTACCTGCCTTAATTCTGCATAAAAATGTTCGAAGACAATGGACTACTGGTATAAGTATACGTGAATAGAAACACAGTTTTTTGACGTCAAATGGGAAAATTAATGGAAATAATGAATTCAATTACTTATTCTTGGTCTCATATAATGCTTAGCATAATATAGTCTATTACAAATTGTGTAATAAAATGTAAATAACCATTTTTTTCTATCTCACTACTAAGGCCAGATAACTCTTACAAATAAAACTATCCTACAATTAGAACTCTTTAGTGTGCAGTGTTTAGACCTTCCTTAAAAGGCATCATTGACTAAATTTGGGATATATTACGAACAGATAGCAATCATTTCATCTCCTTTGTCAAAGAAAATGTTATCAGCGTTTTCACTGAGAGTTTGAATGCATTTTTCAGTTAATCAGTGCTGTATGACTGGTGTAATCCTTATGAAATGCGATGCCATATAGAGTTGTGACACAAGTCTCGAGCTCCTTACTTAGATTAGCCGGTGATAGATTTGCTTAAAAAAGAAACTTTTTCTCCATGGTATATGTTATTGATGTAATGACATTACTGATATATCATAATCATTCTTTAAACAAAAATATCCATTACTGTAGAGGGAAGGGGGTTTCGACATAATATCAGAAACTCTGCCTCAGTCAAACCATAGAAACTTTTAAGAATATTTTAAAAATCTTGGATTAATTGTAACAAAGGCGGATCCAGGGCCGGCGCGCCGGGCGTGCCCCCCCCCCACCCGTAAAATTTTGTATATAAAACTTGTATGCATTATCTTAAAATCAAGGAAAAACATCTCGTATTTGTGAGAAATTGTCAGCTTCCCGGGGCGTCGCCCTCGCACCCCCAAAAAGGACTTTGTCATAGACCAACTGGGGGCTTCAGAACAGCCACCAGACCCTTGCCTTCTACTGCGCCCCCCCCCCCCCCTTAACAGTCTTTCGAATATTAAATTTGGTAATTATATTATATTCGGTATGTATAATTGATAGACTTCTAATAGCTTGAACGACGTTACTCGGCATCTACAGCGGTTGTCGCTTTTTCCGTTTCCAGTGACCCTGTCGAATCGCTGTCCGACAAGTTCTCTCCCTTTGTTTTCCAAAGCTTAAATATCTGAGAAGAGCAACAAACTGCAAGGAAAATGGTACATCCCTGGGTCGATACAATTAAATCAACAACGAAGGAGTAAGTCGAAGTGTTTATAAACCATTCAGATATTTGAAGAAAGATGATAACACTGGCAATGATGGCTATTCTGAAAAGCAAGAAAAATTCCGTTCTCTTTCTTTTTAAATTTATTTTCTCTCTTGAGGAAATTATTATTTTGAACGTAGCAAAGTAGAGAAAAAGCGTCAGAAGAGTAGAAATTGCCAAAGGAGAAAGAAACGTAACTATATTCGAGATTTCATGAGTCAAGAAACATTTCTCAGAGTCATATTGAATATCAGTCGAAAAAATATACAACAGTACACTGTTGACACCAACAACTAACAAAGGAAGCAAAAAATTTAAAATAACGTGGAAAAGGACTGGTGAACGTTCTGTTGAGTCCGAGGATAAGTCATTTTTCGGTTCATAATTTTTAAAAAGTAAAAACTGATGAAATGCTGCTACAGAAAGTGAACAACAAACGGACAACCAGAGGTAATGAAGAATAAGGCCAAGAACTGTGCATGCTTCTTGTACGTGCTCGAGGAGTTTTACCATAGAGTTCATTAAATGAAACAAAGACATGGATAGAGAAACAAACATAGCATTGATACCAGAAGGGGTTCGCAAATTACTAAAAATGCAATAAGTCAAGAAAATAGAAGCCGTGCTGATCGTACTGACGCCATGAAACACAGTAGATAAGTAATGTATATCCACAAAGGTTGCGACCAGTTTATCACTAGCGGTATTATGATATCGCGAGCCATAGTCACATACCCCTACAAAACCTGCAAAATCTAAGACGAAATCGCCCATTTCGAAACCGAGCAAGGTTTCATTCGATGTTATACGTAAGTTTTCATAATCAAAGTTAAATACACTCACATTGTATTTTCGATGGACACAAAAAAGTAAGTTTCCTACAAACAGAACTGTCAAAGGGGGTCCCGCAAACAAAGATTGCATTCGATTTTTAAATCTATTGTAAGAAACTGTATCCGACATACTATTATCGAGACTTCGTTTTGGAAATGAAAATCCCAAGCCTTTGATATGATACTCCACATTTTCATTTTCAATTGTGCTCTGTTGATTGATCTCGTATGGAAGTTTTAAAAGCATTTTTTCTACCAATTCTCTGTCATATAAAAAATATGGTACCTCAAAATAAATATCCATATTGAATTGCTCACTTGGTATGGGACTACCGGCTTCCAATTCGAGGTTCTTGTCAGGCAAAACAGAAAAATATCCTATTAATCCAGGGTTGCCAGGTAATAGGTTTCTTATTTCTAATTTTAATGCTCTTTCTATCTTTTGAAAAACAATGGTTGCATTTGCAATGGAGGTGTTGACCGTTATTTTTGTAGAGATATCAACTGCATATGACCCAATCCCTTCTATTATTATCAACTCGCACACATCTGCTACTAACACTCGCCCAGGAAAGCAACCATATCCTTCAGACTGGAATAGAAAACACAATAGCGGAGATATTTAATAACAGCTCAATAGACAAGCTTTTTGTGAATATTAGAATATTGATGGCCGATTATACTGTATACATGGACATTTTCGCCATTCTTTTCTACTCTTAAGCCTCACTCTCAGTTTTGCAACTATTAAAAGGGGAGAATTCCTTTAAAAAGAGTTATAGTACAATATGTTAAACAGAATTGTGAATGGACAAATTTGAAACAGAGTCAAATTAATTGCAAGCTATTAACTGAGTGTGAATGTCAACGACTGTGACGAGAACCGAATGAATAAATATGAAATTTATTATTTCTTGTACTTGATTTTTGTTTAAAAATATTAAAAGACGAGTGAAATAATTAACGTCTTTCATGCATAATTTTAATTGGCTTAATATTAAGATTACGTTGTGACGTGTACGTCATACTATCTGTATCTCTGATAAACCACTATTTTTTTTTTTGTACCTTGACAAGCTTTTTATTTAAATCCAAAGCAAAACAGTTCCTCGTCATTTTTTACAGATGAAGTCGCTTTGGAGGAAAAATACTGATTTCTTCCGTTTTAAAATTTAGGAGGTTTCCCCTTAAAACTAAATATGTTCCGGAATCATTTGATTGAGCTAAAATGTCGGATTATTTTTTTCTGTTCAATAGAAACATAAAACTACTCACCTCTGTGACGTACTGCGGAGAGGCGTAGAAGACTACGGAGGGAAGCAGTTTAGATAATATAAAACTGCCACGTATCTTCAACGCATTTCCAGTCTGGCCTGAACAATCAGATGGATCAATTACAAACGTTGAATTTGGCAAACACTTCTTGTCAGCGCATAATTCATTATTGCAAGCAAAGCAAAATGAATTCTTGTATGGATACACTTCTGGTACTGCATGCACGTCTGGAAGTGATAAGCATCCTTCACTGTATGCAGGATGAAAATTAACACTACCTGAATCGCACTTTGCATTTGATGTCTGAACAGAGTCATTAACATTGCAGAGCAAGCAAAATTCGTTTTTAAATCCAGATACAGAAGGGAATGCTTGGTCACTGATGTTTTCACAAGCCCATCGAACATTTAAGTCAATATCATTTACAACATTTCCAGAGCTGTTGCATACGTTTACGATTTCCTTTGTTTCTCCCGATTGGGAGTAATCGTAGTAGCTGTAAAGACTCATCCCAAACCCTCCACCGTAAAAGTAGTCGTCCTCTTCTTTCCTGCATTTAGTCGTCTTATCCGTATCAAAATATACAGAACACCCTCTAGTCTTTGCTGAGCTGATTACAGATTTAATAGAGCCAGCGTATAAGAAATGGAAAAAAAATGGACAGACAATGTTTAAATCAAGTGGTGTGAACTTATTGTGAAGCAATTCTTGCCCAAGTCGAAATATCTTCTTATTACAGAAAAAACAAAACACGTTTTTGTAAGTAGCTGACCCAGCCTGTACAAAATAGGAGGAGAAATCCCCAGTGTCCTCTTCACATAACTTACGATACTGATGATAATACATGTAACCCTCATTTTCTGAACAACCATCAATCACAATGATTTCAACTTCTTCAGTTTTCGAGCTTGGATCGGCGTGAATAGTGTTGGATAAACACGTTGCAGAGCTTTGAAGAGCAATGTCAACGCAGCAGGAACATACATTTCTGAAGACGCAGTCAAAATCACAATCACAGTTTTGAAGAGTAAATTGTCTAATGGACTCAGGTAGAAGACTAAGATCACACACACGATCTGGATGCATGGCCACTTTCCTCTGAACTAGACTCGTTATATCAATAAGATCTTCTTTCCATCTGTACATGCCCTTATCTAGAATTCGGATGTCAGTGCTTTTAATCTTTTTATTTAAAATGTTTAGGTTCATTTTTTCATTTTTAAAAACAACATTCTTGATTTTTATCTCGTGTTTTTCCTTTTTTAGCCAATTGACACTATGTCTCTCTTCATATTCAAAGTAAATGTCGTGAAAATGAATAACCTTCCTTCCTTCTGGCGGAGGAGGGGAAAAGCTTTCCAGAGGGTTTGCGATCGTATTGCAGAAAAAACAGTATGCATTCTTGTAAGGGAAAGTCATGGCTGATGTTCCTTTGTTAGCACATGCATTTCTCAAAGAAAGGTCTTTTGCGTCCCAGTGGCCCGTGACGTTACATGTTGTGATAATATTGTCCGCGTTGCTAATTTTTGGTATGTTGCACATGTAGCAAAAAATGTTTTGATAAAAACGGAAAGGTAAGAAATAAGATGATTCACAAGCCTTTTTAATGTTATGATCGGTATCTGTCGGGCAAGTCGAAGGTAATAGGTACTGTGTAGGTAATTTGTTCACCAAATGATTTGCTCGTTGAGAAGGTGTGAACAAGACAGGTATTTGTAACATGTCACCAAACCTAATTAGTTCTTTATATGAGCTACTGAGATAGACAATGTTTGGGAGATCTCCTTGTCCAAAGCCTAAATCCCAGTAATCAAGGTTATTTAATGCCTCACCATGACAGGATGCGCAGTATTTGTTGGAGTAAGAAAAATTAGTTGCTAATGACGTCACAGGAGGAGTTTTCGTCCACTGATAGCCTGCTAAGGAAGTTTCACATTCTGCCTTAAGGGACGGATTTGTACCAGCTGGACAGCTCACAATAACTTCATACTTCTGATAAGTTTCTCTGTCTGCGGAACCAATCAAAAAATTGGTAAAGACTTGAAATTTTGACTTAAAAAATTTATCTGGGCAGCATGTTTTCGTACTAAAGCAGTCGTCATCGCATGAACATTTGGGACAGCGGTTCATCTGAGGGTGATAGGCTGGATAAGAGGAGGCATCCAGCTCTGAGCAGAGAAACACGTGTCCACAGGCATTGGAATACTCTATTATCAAAGCATCGACATCAAGCTCACCGGAGTTACAGAGACAAGAAGTTATAAAGTGGAATATTAACACTAGAAGTTCAACATAAACTCGCTTCATCTTGCATATACTATGCTGTCGAAGATACAGAAAAGTTGCATTCCCTACGAAGATAAAAGTAGCACAATGTAAAGATGATTAAAGATTGTTAAATTCTATATAATTTTCAATATGTAACGTTTCTGTGTTGGAGTTGTGAGTGTCTATTTGTTTAACGTCCCTTCGAGTTACTAGGATTGATCTGCCGCCATTTGCCGGTGGAGAGCTGTAGATTGTGACTGTATTGACCTTGGACTTGTGAGAGCACAATGCTGCGACAAGAGACCTCGGTTTATAGGTGATAGCACGATTCCTTACCGCCCAATGGACGGAAGCGCCGAATATAAACCCTCCACAGGCAAGTTAAGTATGTGTGAAATATTCTCTTAAGAAGCTCTAAACAGTAACAGAAACTGTTTTTTGGACTCAGAGAAAAATATAATCATATAAAGATATGTATATTGAGACTTTTTTATTCATTTAGAACAGGGTACGTGCCTTATTTGCGCAGGAGAAATGTTCAAAGACAATTGACTATTTGTGAGCAGAAATCACTGTTGTTTACTTAAATTGAGAAAAATTAATCAAAATAATTAATTAAATTTCTTACTTTTGGTCTTATATATTGCTAAAAATATTTTAATCTATTATAAATTATGTAATCAACGGTACATAAGAATTTCTTTAATCTTACATCTACGGGCAGATCACTCTAACTGCATAAAACTACACAATAAATAGAGCTCTTTAGTGTGCAGTGTTTAGAGCGTCCTTAAATACGCATAATAAACAAATTAAAGCAAAGAGCATAAAGATAAATTTTATTTTATTTTTTCAAAGTAAGTTCACCATAAAAGAATAAAATATATCTTTTGTTATTAATATTTTAAAATTGTGGTAACAAAAATGAATTCACATAGTAGTTGAAACATACTTAATTATACCCCTTAATGCGTTAACATTATAGGCTTATTAATAAACTATGGAGGATGAATTTATAAATAGATATATTACGATTAGAGGGTACATAAGGAGTTTTTACTTTAAATTGTTTTTATAAGTAATTTTTATTTAATTTGATTTTACATAAAAATTATTTTATTTAACAAAATGAATTACAAGCTTAAAAATTCGTAAATAGACAAAGAAAATTTCTGTTAGAAACATGTCATTAGAAATGTTTTTAAAGCTTTGCTGATTGAATACAGATATAAACATGTACACCTACGAGGGCTGTTCGTGAGACATTGTGTATATTTTTCTTTCTAATAAACGTCTTTCGGTGAAAATTTGCCAATACGTTTGACAAACATTAGGAATTCATTAAAGCAAAAAATATTTTACAAATATTAAATTTCTTCTCTTCAATGGTATTTAAATGTATCAATGGTAGTGGTACCCCGGCATTTACACGTATGATTTTTCAATTCATTTTTGACTTCATGTTGTGCAAAAATGTTAGATATTTGATCAGAAATACAGAAATCAGTAAAAAGATTAGGCACAGTAAAGAAATCTAATAACGACGACAAAATGGATTTTGACGTCAAGGCATTCCTAAAATGTGTAGCGCTATGTAGAACTCTTTTCTGGACAAATCAACGTGCTAAAACAGTAACAACGTGAAAAAATATCTAAGGGTTTGTTATTTCATTGGAATATTTTTTTTTCTAACCAACAATTCCACCAGAGTGAAATTAAATGCTCTGGACGACCATAAAGTATTACGGAATAAATAACGTTGACCTGCGTTACATAAATCTGCACTGCATGATGATAGGGCATCCTGTATATACCCGGTATGACATCATGAAAATTTTACACTGGTGTTGCTCAACAGCACATATATTTCTTTTTAAAAAGAATCCTTTGAGAGAAGAGACAGGTTGCTATTTTTAATGTTATATATGATAACAAACAGAGAAGAGTAAACGCTTCCCGATCGTTTCACATGAGAAAACATCTCCGGCTGACGTGACGTTAAATTGACGTAACGATGCTGCTCCAGGTCAATGGACAAAGGCATGTTTATCATTTCACCGAAACTTATCTAATTACCCTTGCTAATTTTTCTTTATTGAATTATACAAAATATTGTCCAAACTTTTTGCTTTCCTAATAACGAGTAAGTTAAAATGCCCTTTACCAATCGCCCGGGACATTGAAGTGAAAGTTACAGCAATAAAATTATCGAGGCGTTTAATGGCAGGAAAAAGGAAACATCACACTTTAATTGTCAAAGCTAAAAAGATTATAAACCATTTCTATATGTGAACGAAGAAAACCACTATCAATTCCTTAATTTTTATTTTATTATGTACTAAGAAACGTTTTACATTTTTGTATGAGATTTTTAAGTGTACTATCTTTCTTAACGTATTAAATTCTCAGAATGTCTTTTAATTGTTCTAATCTAATTTACAGAAATTGGATGAAAATGAGATTTTCTTGAAAGTTTCAGAAAGTGGATAATGGACTTGAAAGGTAACTCTTGCTGATGGATGCATATTATTTCACAAACACAGGGAACAATTTGATATTCTGATTTAAAAAGCAACGCTTCATTATGTTTTCTAATCAGAATTACATTGCAGATTGGTGTGACATTAAAAAATATTTTCATATATACTTCATACTTTTAATTTTATTGTGAGATAAAAAAAAATTATTGATGTTTCTCAAATTTTCTTCACATCATGATAAGACATTATTCATTTCTGAAAAAGTAAGCAACTCTTCATGATTCAAATTGTTATACCACTACTAAACAATTCGTAATATAATTTCTTACTTTAAAAAGTCCAACAATTCCCCGTTTTCCCCGACTGTCGCTCCAGGAACTGTTAAAAATTGACTATTAGAAAAGACTTGCCCGCTGACCTCATTTGGCACTATACTGAGTTATCTTTACATTCGATAAAGGAGTATAATAAAACTGTTGTTGACTGATGTTGGAAACAGTCGATCTGTTGGACCGGAGTGAAAACTTTTGCCCGCAGCCTACGGCCTTGGGAACAGTTTGCCTTCCGGTAAAAAAAGGCTAACTGTTAATGACCAAGGCCGTGGGCCGCGGGCAACATTTTGCACTCTGTCCAACAGATCGACTACGGCCTTGGGCAACGCTTGCACTCCGATCCAACAAATCGACTGTTTTCCTCTACCCCAGTCAACAGCTGTATATTATTTCCATTTGAATCTAATTCTACTGTTATTGATGAAAATCAATGTTTGGAATTTTTTTTTAAAATAGTGGTGAAAGTCAACGCTATCAAAGTTTACTGATTGTACTAACTACTCACAGTATTTTTAAAAATGCATATTTAGCAAATGCAAACAGTTCCCCCTATTTCGTTTAATACTGTAACTTCTGCAACAAATTAATTTAAATGAACAAAAGATCTTGCCCCCGGCACGCCCTTATCGTTGGACATATACTTTCACTTACCTGGTAATCAAAAGGGCTGTCCCTGACTGCAGCACGACACAGTCTCACTCTCTATATATTTATAGAGTCCTAAAGTACCGACAACCCTCAGGTTATCGATTTTCCTTGATACACACCCAAGTAGATTTTATTATACACCTTATGTCTGTCAACCCTGGTCTAAGTTTTATTCTCAGCTCTTCATATTTCTGTTAAGAACATTGATTTATCTTACATTATCGTTCACAAGTCTGGTTGAGTTAATTAAAAATGACATTTGTACAATAGCATTGTACAATAAATTCTTCAATCAAATAACAAAGCACTTTAGATTGTTCATTTTAGAGAAAAATAAAGAAATGATCATGAATGTTAG